ATAATAATAATAATAATAATAATAATAATAATAATAATAATAATAATTTCAAAAGAGGAAAAGAAGATAGGTCAGGTCAGGAGACATGACTCAGAGATAAGTTTCTCTTCCAGATGATCTGAGTTCTACTCCCAGCACTCGCATGACTGCCCACATTGTCTGTAGCTCCTGTTCCAGGGGATCCCAAATCTCCTTCTGGCTTCTTTGGGCACCTGGCATGCATGTGAAGCTCAGACACACATGCAGGCAAAGTGTATATATATATTGTGTGTATATATATATATTGTATATATATATATATATATATATATATATATATCACAATATTTTTAATAAGAAAGTTCAAGAAGCAAAAACAGGCATAAAATGGAACCAAACATAAAAATATTAAGAATAATGAATTAAAATAAGAAATACAGTGTTTGTCAATAGCACTACAAATAAATCATTAATAATAGGAATGAAATCATCAAATGCAATGTAAAGAAGCAAAGTTTAGCAGAAAGAGAATTGCATGACAAAGATTAGTGAGGGAAGACACTGAGCAATGAAAACTAAGAAAGCGATTTGAGAAAGAGTTCACTAAATCAAAGTTCTTAAACTTAAGATGCAAGAAAAAGTGTCACCCAAAGAAAAAGAAAAAAAAGTACAATTATCTATCCTATAAATATTAGAGAAGTTATTTTACCCTGAATTTTTAAAGCATTGTCAGTGAGATAAGTGTGTGTGAGTGTATGTGTGCACATGTGTGTGTGTTCACAAAAGAACCACATATTTTCTTAGACCTTATTATTAAATGTTTCTTTTAATTTTTAATTTTTATATTAATCACAGGTTATTTACTTTGTATCCCAGCTGTAGCCCCCTTCCTTATTTTCTCCCGATCCCTCCCTCCCTCCCTCATCTCCTCCCTGCCCCTTTCCAAGTCCCCTTATAGGGCTGTACCTCCTTCCCTTCTATCTGACCATAGCTTATCAGGTCTCTTCAGGACTGGCTGCAATGTCCTCTTCTGTAGCCTAGCAAGGCTGCTCCTCCCTTGGGGAAGGGAGAGCAAAGAGCTCGCCATTAAGTTTTTGTGTTAAATAGTCCCTGTTCCACTTACTAGAGAACTCACTTGGATACTAAGGTACCATGGCCTATATCCGGGCAGGGGTTCTAAGTTATATCCATACATGGTCCTTGGTTGTAGAAAAAGTCTCATGAAAGACTCCTGTGCCTTGATATATTTGGTCCTTGTGGAGCTCCTGTCCTCTCCAGGTCGTACCAACTCCCCCTTCTTTCATATGATTCCCTGCATTCTGCCGAAGGTTTAATTATGAGTCTTAATATCTGCTTTTATACACTGCTAGGTAAAGTCTTTCAGAGGTCCTCTGTGACTCTGTCCTTTTAATTGTTTTTTTTAAGTCTTGTGTATCTTTATTTATGTGCATGTTTATGTTTATGAGTATAAAGGACAAGGTTCATAAAGGCATTTTTCTAAGGGGTCATAAACCTTGGTTTATTTGAGTCAGGATCTCTCCTTGGCCTGAGAAAGCTATGCTGGCTAGCTAGTAAGTCCTGGTGTTTTACTTTTCTGCTCTTCCATAATCCTGAGGTTAGAGTTGTAGGCTCTTACCCTGGGCTTTTAAAATGTAGGTTCTGGAATCTGAATTTAGACCTTCCTAGCATCATGGTAAGCATCACCCAGGCAAAGGTCAGCGCCAAGCGCTAGTGAGTTTGGTAAGTTTAGCTCATTATTACAATGTTTATCAATTATTAAAAGAGAGAAAGTCAGTAATCACATGAGAGAACCAGTAGCAGGTCAGGCTCCTGGAAGCAATATCTGCTCATGAATAGTGAGGTGGGAAGCAAGACTGCTGAGCACCCTTTGCTGAGGCATCTTGCTGCCAGCTGCAGTAGTGAACTTGCTGAGTTTGAGCCAGAAACCCAAAGGCTTCTGAGTAGGAAGGTTTACCCAGGGAGTATATACTAATTTGGATGGCGAGAATGCTAAGCTGCTTGAGTCCAGATTATACTTTTTACTACATGTTTACTTTTGGGGAAAATTGGTGAGGTTTCATGTGTTTTGATTTTCAGATTCATGAGGCATAGAACGTGTTACTGATCCTCCTTAACATGGTTCTCATAGAAAACTATTAAAAGAAAGCAAAACTATAATTATCTTTGCTTTAAGGAAGGCATTTTTTCAGGAGGTAATAGGAATGACAAAGGCCTAGAGTGGTAGCGTCCTGAGAGCTGGCAGATGGGTTCTCTAGCAAGAAGGTCACATAAATAATCCCTGTTGAGAAAAAAACCAAAACCCAAACTTGCAACAACTACAACAAATACTAATTGGCACCGATGGAGAGATATTCAGCAGTTAAGTGTCCTAGGTTTGTTACTTTCCTGAGTTCAAGTCCCAGCAAGCACATAGTAGCATATAAACATCTATAATGGAATCTGATTGCTTCTGGTTTCAAGCATACATTCAGACAAAGCATACATAAAATACATAAACAAATAACTTTTTTGGCAAAAACACACACAAAAAATAAAACTAGAGAAACTTAATTGGCTTTCCTCTAGTTTGCTGCTATTGTTTACTAAGGAGGAGAGGTCATAATAAAAGCAAAATATCAAGAAGAGGTAGGCAGGAATGGCAGATAATGGCCGCCATCACAACTGAGCTCCTGCCCCTTGCGGAGAGCAGCCATGCAGCACGCCCAGCTCGAAATCCCTACTCCCTCTTGGGAGGAGGCAGGAGGCGGCCAGCAGAATCTGCCACAGACCACATTGTCTGTACCCCAACCCGAGATCGGGGCTGAGAAAACCCAATCCTTTCAGGCACTCCCCCAAACGCCACCATAACCCTGCCATGGCAGAGCGGAAGGATAAAGAGGCGCACAGCGGCTTCACAGTGCCGGAACTCCAGTGCTGCCAGCTGCTCCTAGCAAATAAACTTCAGCTCGGGATCCAGGACTGTGGTCATTCTACACGTCCTGAGATTCTCCTGGGTACAGCGCAATAAGGTCTAGCAACATGTTCTATCACTGGCATCCCCCCAACCCCTGGCAGAGAAACCCTGGTGCAGGATTGGACTGAGAAGCCCCAACCCCTTCTGGCACTCCCCTGAGAACACCTCCATAAGCTTGCCCTAGCAGAGGGGAAGGTCAGAGGGGAAGGACAGAGAGGCAGCCTGCCAAGGACACAGCACCCTCTCTCCAGCTCACCCAGCGGCCCCTAGCAGAGAAACCCAAGCTCTGGATCTGAGGACACTCAACCCTACCCGGTACTCTCTTGGGATCAGCAAACATAGATTCTACCGCTAGGCTGCTTCTGGCAGAGAGATCTGGGTCCAGGATCTGGGATTGAGAACACTCATCCTAACTCTTTCCCGCGCCACCGAGGGACCAGTCAACATAACCCCTCCAAGCAGAGGAAAAGGACAGAGAGGCAGCACACAGGAAAGGTGGACACCGAGTCCTGTGGCCACAGTGTCACAGAGCTGACTGTTAGCCTACCCGTGCACTGCCGCAACAGGACCAAATCAGAGAGTAGTGAGCAAGGGGAACCCCTGTGCATTCCATCTGGTCCTGCAAGAGAGTGAGTGAGCCTTCTAGGGAGAGTTTGCCCCAGACCCAGGGCCTCTCCACAGAAGTAATCCAGACGA